AAAAAAAAAAAATAAAATTCGAGCAACTGTATTCTCTGTGTTACAGCAATTAATTTCCTATATTTCCAGTATACCTGTTGCTTTCCTACTATGTGACCTTTGACTGTGTGATGATGCTGTACATCTTTATGTTTGGAAAAGGTCTGTTCAAGTGCATATCCATGATCTGACTTTAATTTGCTATGGTACTTCATGGGTGGGAACTGTCTATTGTGTTTTTTTTATAAAGGTAAATGATTTTATTGATGATGGAGAAACCCTGTATACAAGTCGTATACCAAAAAAGGTAGAGAACCTACACCAAAATATGGTTCTCCACAAAAGAAATCCGATCTTCTATACAAATAGGGACCTCATGGATACACCAAAAGGAAACTACTCGGAACAAAAGACTACTTTTCAGTTTTACAAAATCTTGGTCTACCCAATGTATATATTATGCTACATGTAATTACAGCTGATGGATGCTCTAGGGGATTGTCGTAGGAGGCTATGAACACAGAGAGAGTTGTCATTCTGGTTCCAACTTTGCTTATTCTACATGTTATGTAGTTGGTTAAATAAATGGATAATCTAGTCGTTTGGTGATACTGAAAGAGGGGAAGGGGTCTATTTAAAGGAATGTAGCATCCTCTAAAGCTTCCAGAGCATGTATTTATCTGGAGTTGGAGGTAATATTGTTTTATATATTGATAACCGAGAAATGACCGAGATCATGGTTCGAAACTCGATGGATAATAAATAAACTTAGACCTTTTATCCTTCTCCACTTAATTATAAGGCTTTTATACATGGTAGGGTTGGAGCACGCGACGTTGGCTTAAACCCACACGTCAAGTCCTGGGGCAATAATTGCGTAGGGGGTGCGTCGTGTTATTTTTAAATATTCATTCAATAGTGAAGTCAAATAGATGTGAAGCATCAAAATATGGAACAAAAGCTAAACATGAAGGATAGGAATCTCAAGTTACATTAGTTGCATAAAATAAAGCTATTCGAATAAGAGAGTAAGCTACCTAATTAGCATCCTAGCTAGTAAAGAAACTAATTTCTTAAAGACAAATAATCCCAATAACAATACCAAATTCAGATAAATTAGGCACCGTTGCTGAATTAAGAGCTGTATTAATCTTTTGATAATCGAATTCAACCATCACTTTATCGATATTTAAGCCCTTTAAGTCACAAGGGCTTCACGAAGGGAGAAAGCTTCAGCATTGAGGGATATTTAAAACCTTTTTCACAATTTTTGCCAACATCTATTTATCACAAAATGAGGGATTTAATAAAAGAATTCAGAACCACTCTATACTCGAACTTGATTATGTACGGTCTACTCCCTATATTTATTAAAGTGTCAAACCATGCGTTAAAAAACACTTCTTCACATTTTTATGAACTCAATAGTTATAAAAAATATGTCTTGCTTTTAATTTTTTATCACTTAAGTTTATTTATAATGTGTATTATTATTATTTTAACTTATAGCTTTTTATAATAATTAAAATACGTGATTTTGTGCAAAAATGGATATTGTCAAAAGCTCTCTATGAAAAGAAAAAAAAAGGTGTCACATTATAAATATCGAAGAAATCCGATAATCCTCATAACAAAGTGCGAGCAACTGAAAACCCTCTTTGTAGCGAATAGCCATGGGGATTCTATCATGGTGGAAGGGCGACAAAAAGGAAACTCCAAAATCCACCCAGAAACCCGACCCGATTACTCAAATCTCATCCGACAAGCCGGAGGTTCCGGGCATGAATGGAGCCGTTGAGGTTTCACGGCCAAACCCACCGCCGGCGGATATAACCGTTTTCGAGTTCGGGTCTGTGGCTGCTTCTGTTGATAAGGTTACACTTGCTGGATATTGTCCGGTTTCTGATGAGCTTGAGCCCTGCCGTTGGGAGATTTTACCGGCGACTGGGTCTAACGCACCACAATTTCGCGTGGTTTTCTGATTTGAGTTTTTTCAGCTGAGAAAATTTGGGAAAAAAGGTTTTTTCTGGGTTGTGTAATTTACTGAATATGGTCTAACGAAAAACCTTAATCTAGTTGGTTTGTTTGATGATTTCTTGTTGTGATTCTTGATTTTGGATGCATTTTTATGCTTATGTTGTGTTTCTATGTTTGTTTGGTTTATAATTCTGGAATTTTCTGTTGTGTAGAACCTTTTAGGTTAAAAAAGACCCTAATTTGTTTAACAAAAATAATTATTTAATATGAGAATAAAGCAGAATGGATATAGATGATTTATACAGCCCATCTAGACTTGTTTGGGGTTAATGCGTAGTTTAATGATGTTCTTATTAAGATGATTTAAACAGCATATCCCAATTTGTATGACCAGAAGAAGCTGAAGCAGAAGGTAAATGCTAGTTTCAATTGTATGGAGCTGTGATCTTATAAGCATTTCAGTGGACAATCTTTTTTAAGTCAGTTAAGAGTAATAGATCTTTTTTAGCTGAACGTCTATCGGAAACAATCTCTCTGCCCTTCCAAGGCAGGGGTAAGGCTGCGCACATCCTACCCTCCCCAGACTTACTTGTGGGATTACACTGGGTTGTACCCTCCCCAGAGCCCACTTGTGGGATTACACTGGGTTGTTGTTGTAAGAGTAATAAAAAAGAGAGCTTTTCTAATTTGAAAAATAAAAGACTATCTTGTTTTCTTCTTCTGTCCTGTCTTCCTGTTTCAACAAGTATGGCAAAGTTTCTGGTGATGTTAGACTGAAAAATTTGGTGTTGCCAAGAGCAAATGTGCTGTATATTAATCTTCTCCTCTATGTTAGAGAAATAGAAAGAAGGGAAAGAAATCAGTGTTAATATTGTCTTATGTTAATTTGAGGGGCATTTTGTTGCTGCTATTCCTATCGGGAGTAAATGGATGTTTCAAATTGTTTTTCGACCAAGTAATAGGTAAAGTTGCATTGCAAAGTCTTTAAGGTAAGCCTCGAAGGAGCTATATTTGAAGATTTCTGTATATCAGTTTTCTGGAAGTACGTGTGTGTACGCAGACTAAGATGGCTAAAGAGAGTAAAGAGGTTGTTTCTGGAAGTACATGTTATATCTCATAATAATTTGGAATGTACATGAGCCTCTTTGCTGGTAAAAATAATACTAATTGTTTAACTAAGATGGCTCCATTTGTGCTGGAGATATTTGAATTATGGTAGATGCCATCTGGAGTAGCATTAGATTATATTTGGTAATATCATTGTTGTAATTGTATGTTTATTGCCAAGTTCATACTTCAGCATAGGGGTGTTCATAAAAACCCGAAAACTCCAACCAAACCGAAAACCAAACCAAACTGATAAAAAAAACCGATACTTTTTGGTTTGGTTTGGTTTTGGTTTTGAATTTTAAAAACCAATCAAATTTGGTTTGGTTTGGTTTGGTTTTGGTTTTAATCAGAAAAAAACTGAAAAAACCGAACCAAACCGACTATAGGATCAGCTATTTCAAATTTATTATTACACTTATATATATGTATACTTATATACAAAGTTTCAGAAAATTTATAGTAAATGTTCATAGTTTGCACTTTTAGTATAGTTCTTTACCTTTACATTCTAGTTTGATTGGTAGTTTTCTTTTGTTAAGTGTAAGAAGTCATTTCGTGTTAAAAATAATATATTTTTAATTGAGTCCTTAAATTATTCATCACTATTTGATTAAATTATCATCAATATATCTTGGTAAATAATAGATTTCTCAAAGAGCAATTGATTTGATAGTGTTACGTTGAAAATGTGATCGCCGGAATATGTGTTTGGTAGTGTATGTCTTATATTTAAGGAAAAACCGACAAATAATCGAAAAAACTGAAAAACCGACAAAACTCGACATAAACCGAATCGAGGAAAAACCGACTTAATTGGTTTGGTTCTAATATTTGAAAAATCGACTTACTTGGTTTGGTTTTTTTTAAGGAAAACCCGATCCAAACCGAACCATGAACACCCCTACAGTTCTGCATTACATGGAATCAGCTTTTGGTAGCCTACTCTGGCTTTCTATAAAAATTGTTACTACAGGATTGTCAATGCACCAGACAAAGATCCTCAAGTGAAAAAGTAGGTGATGTTACGAAATAAAAAACGATAATCCAACTGCAAAATAAAAATTGGGTGTATTATAAGGGAAAGAACTTAACTATGCCGGGTGTTTATACCAAACGAATGAACACGTGACAAGTATCTATCATATGCACCTTTACCACTTATGACTGTTAATATATATTATCGCCTGAGCTAGAATGGTTTTTCTCAGTCCAGATTGTGCAAGCAAGTCAGAGAAATGGAAGATGCAAATTCTACTATCAAAAGCAGTATAAAATATGCTGAAGTACAACATTATTAGCTTCAGTGTCTCCCAAAGTTTTTCCAACAATTCTACAAAGAGGAGTCGAGGGGCATATTGCATGATCCAAAATGGCCAAACAAGTATATAAGTTCGCGTCTCCTAACACCCAAAAAAGAAAGAAGTCAATGATTTGTTGTCACATCGTTCAGTATTCAATCTGCTAAAAGTAGTTAAAACCTCAATTTTTGACTAATTACTTTGTTAGTGAGTTAGTCAAGAACTGCCAAAACCAAGATACTGATCCACAAGTCTTGCCACTGAAGAGGCTAGCGCGTCTGCAGCATCCTGGGTGGTTGCTTCAGCATATACTCTTATAACATCCTCTGTCCCAGACGGTCTAATGAAACATCTTCCTCGGGGATATTTTGCTGGATAAAACAAGAAATACGGGTTCAATATCTAATTATGGAGCATGCAACGATACAAACTCGCAGAAAATGATATATTTGATCAGGATAAGGAACTGTATAAATGTGATTTATCAATATATGGACTTACAGGGCGCCATTAGAAATGTAAATAGCTAGATAAGCCATGATTTCATTTAACTTTCTTGGCTGACTATTGAAGTTCTACATTTTTTATGGACGCTGTAACATGAACACTCAGTTGACTGGTGATTTCAGCTACCAAAATCAGATGATCTACTAAGATCACCAAATAGAACAGATTTGTCCGTCTAAAATGTTGATCAAGTTGATGAAATTACCTATTTCAGCATTCATAGCTTCTTGAATACCAATAGGCTGAACAGTCACAGTCTCCGCATTTGCTGTCACAACTGCAGTTCGGTCAACAACCTTTACCTGAAAAAAGGAGGATCTTGGAATTGAAGCACTTATCTTCAAAGTGAAATTTCCTTAAAATGAAATGTTCAGGGTCACATTCAACTCCAAAATGATGGAGACATAAATTAGAGACAAAAAGCAGATTGCAAAACTAAAGTGGATTTTCCCCTTGGGAAAAGGTCAACTAGTGTGAGCAATAAACTAGAAATTTGAACTTGACAGCACTTGGTTCCTTATTGTATCACCCACTTATTGTGAAAGTGCATGTCCTTCCGAACAAGATTATAAATTGACGAGAAACAAGAAAAAGAGAAAATTTTGTAGTTTTGACATCACTAGCTTCTCGGAGCTTCCCCCAGACCCCACTTGTGAGATAATACTGGGCCGTTGTTGTTGTTGTTGTTGTAGCTTCTCGGAGCTTCCTTAACATGTGTCTATTGGTTTATCTAGTTCTGAATGTGATGTAACGCACTTGAGCTACTGCATAAGCTGAATTTCTCTCTTTGGTTTCTTCTACATATTTATTTTCACTTTTGATAAGTTCAGTTTTCTTCTCCTTCTTTGTTAACTCTCCTTATTTTTTAATTTAGCCCGAGTGTGCTGAGATGAGGCACTGACTTGAATGTAGAAACATGGTCATTGAGGATTCACAGCCTACCCCAACTTGTTTAGGACTGATGCGTTGTTGTTATTGTAGTATCAAGACAATGAGACATATGGAGCTGAAGCCATCCATTAGGCTTCAACAAAATGAGTGGATTCGGAGGTTTACTAATTAACGTCAAAGATTCACATGTGTCTTGACTCTTGGCGCATCAGTTCTCACGCTTTCGGAATTATGCACAATGGACATTCGTGTAGAGAAACTATATATGAAGCCAAAAACAAATTAATGTGTTCCACTACGGAATTTCCGATACAGAAGTCTCATCAACATTGGAATCCCAGTGTTTCTTTAAGGTCAATTCAGAGAACAATAATAAATTTCCAAGTCTATGCAATAGGAGCCACAGAAATCAGAAAATCAACAGAACTAAAACAGCGTCTGTAATTGATGAATTTGAAGACAAAAGGTGATTACTTGCATCTTTTCTAACAAACTATGCAGAGCAAGTTAACAAATTCAAAAGTGGAAGAGTCTGACCTTTAGTTGTCTGCTAGGCAGATCATGATAAAGCTCATTCCATCTATGTATGGACCATCCCATGTATTTCAGGATAACCTCCACTAGAAGCAGTCCACTTAAAGCATCTCCCACAGCCTGATTAATCAACTGACTGACAGCCAAAAGTCTTGAAGCAGCTTTTTGTTTCACTGAACCTAAAATAAGTAACAGATAGATAAAATAGGTGGCAAAAAATAGACGGTCAAGGGTCATAACAGCAACAGTGGAGGAGGTTGGGTCAGACCTTCTGACGTTGATAGAAGCGTCTTGTGACTAGTCTCCAGCCAGCATAGGAAAGCTTCTGAAAACAAGATAGTTCCATGCCCATTCGCCTCAAAATATATGCCAATATCAAATTCAGCAGCTTTTTCATGCAAGTATTTGACTCCTGTTGGGGTAAGCACAACTTCTAGACCCATCTCTTTCAGGTAATCAGTTGATGCGCCATTCGCATAAGCTGTCTGCACAACACCTAGACGTGCTTGATAAGAGTCATTTCCTTTCTTGTCTTCACCCTCGTTCAAAATACTTAGTTGCTCCTTGATAAATAACGCAAACAAAGACAATATCTTATCCCCGTCAACGAGTTCAATCTTGTTGTTTTCATTCGATAGAACTGAGAAATAGACTAGCCGATCAGCATCCCCATCCAAACTGGCACACCTGAACCACTAGGTGTATTGAAGTAATTAATTACCACTTCTCTTCACCATGGAAAAGTGCCGATTTTGATCAAATACTGGAAAGATAGTAAGATTACCACATCAAAAGATGATGCTAACCATAACCTGTATCTGCTCTAACAAGATATGAGCATGTGATGAACAATCTTCTTATTGAAGATCTTCCTAAAAGTTATGCCTCTTGGAAACAATTGATACAGTAATTTATGCAAGAAATACGTTCTTAAACCATCAATCAATTTTCCATCGAATTGTATGCTGAAACACACATAAGCCCGATCTAAGAGGTCTTATCAGGTTAGTAACTCCTACACGCATATAGCATCCTAAGTAGGCCAAGAAAGACGAGAGAAATGCAATAAAACAGGTACAGAGAGGATTTTAACAAATCCATATTACTGAAAACAAGTTAAACTAAATCATCATGACCAGTGAGAGAAATGACATAGGATAAAATCGGATTTCCTCTTTCTGGTTATATTTAGGTGTAGCTCCGTAGTCAGTATTACTGAACTTTAACCCAAATGAAATTAGATCTAGCGAATATCATGTTACATTTACACAGTATTATCCTCACTAGATACCCATACAAAACGGGTAGACAATGTTCAACAAAAACCTTTCTAGATTAAGGAATTGACAAGAAGATGTTTCACCTTAGCCCAGTATCGGCAGAACCAAAGCTACGGGGAGCAACCTTCTCTTTTTGCACATAGTCAGCACCAACACCTTCATTAAGTATACCATCTCCCCTGTTACGAACTTCAATACACAACCCAGCCAACATCTTCTTAAACTGTTCAAGCTTTTCCCCACCAACACCATCTGCCCCATCCACCAGCAATGTAGCATCATTGCCATTCTTGCTGATTCCCTCGGGCTTCAAATCCATCAAACACCTAAAAAAAGTCAGTAGCATTTCTATTAAAACATATCTCAGCTAAATTTAAAGGCTTCAAGAAATTGTCTACTTAATGTGACCTGAAAGAGGTTGAAAGCTGGTGAAAATAACTAGATTCAGATGCCTCCAGGCCTCCATTTCTTGCTCGAACCATCCAATGCAGTTGTGGTGTTGTAACTACTCCCATGTCGGTGCCAATTGCTCCAATGATTGAAGTGATTCCCTTCAATAGACAATTATTTACTACCAATAAGTACAACTGGAAGGCAAATCATGCTGGTCTATCTAACTAGGAGGTTCTTTTGGCGCTTCTATTCTGCAAATTCATGCATGAATCAGAAGGCCAACAGGAGTTATAAGGGTCATCAAAAGACACAGAAAAGGGAGGAGAATTATTAAACCTAAACTAGACAATGGATTTTTTTAATGTTAAAGGTTAACTAGACAATGGGATTAGATGAAAAGGATTCTAGATAATCAGCAGAGGAGTGTAAAGCAATATGGTGTACAAGGTCAGAGCCTATAGCAGCTCGAGTTCCACCTGAATTTAACTGCAGTGAAGCAGATAGACACTGGATTAAAGAAATGTGAACAATGTCCATTGAAGCTATGCAAAAGACCTACTTGTTTGGCAGCCTCAAGGAGAGCCTCTCCACTAGGCCTTGTGTCTCTTCCTAATAACACCTCTGCTGCTGGCTGTCTTCCTTCAAAGCCAATTTCTTCTTTCTTCACAAATTCAGTTATTAGCTGTTCCCAGAACAAGATGTAATGAATCAGAACTTAGCAAATTAACGGAACACTAATCCATCACTTGATGCAAAGGATTATAGGCAGAAGCGGAAAACAGAGAAGATAATGTCTAATCTTTATTAGCATTCGTAAATGTCAAACTACTTTATCAGCATAGCTAAACACTTTATAAGCACACCAGTAATTCACATTCATGCAGTAATACTAAAACTACTAATTCACATTCATGCAGTAATACTAAAACTACTCATTGGAGTCTTAATCAATAGCAACAGTCCAGAATCACATTATATTCTTAGTGTTGATCTTCTTCTCCAATATAGGACGATAACCCCCGCCCCTTTTTCCCCTTCTTTCTCTTCCTAGAGGCATTTCACCCAAAACATCCTTATCTATTCTATTCCCGTACTTCAGCTAATATAATTATATTTATCAAACCCTCTAATTGGCTTATGTTGCAGCAGCCGTGCATTGTAATTGCTGTGATATGCCAGGATATATTTGAATTAATGCACTCTTTCATAATCAGTGTATTTTAAAGATAGATCAATCATTTAATCAGTTATGTCTCCGTCGCAAACTAGTAGCTTTCATTCTGCTCCATTCACGCCCGTATTGTAAATAGATAATCTTCAAATTTTCCAGATTTATCCAATTAACCTGCATTCTTTCCACTTGAACAAGATCACAAGAGTACTATAAAAATGAAAGCTTTTTCTTTTCCATTTTTTTTTGAAAATTTGACAGACAAATATATATTCACATATATTTGCATACATAGTATATGTGTGTTTAAAGAACGAGAGGATTGAAACCTGAAGGAGGGAATGGGGATCAGGGGCATTAGCAATGGCATCAGAAAAAGGCTCCCAATCCTGAGTCAACATTCCACCACTTGGGTCTGCCACTTTGATTCCATTGTCTGATACTTTATTGTGTGATGCAGTAATCATCAAACCTATCACAGATCCAGTCTTCAGCGACCTTAATGCCGCCAATATCCCCACCCTGAATACTGTCGATTCGAGCAATGATGCATCTGCCCTGAAGCCAGCTGTCCCATAAGACAGCCTCACCCCTGTTCATACATTTTCAAATAAATCAATCAACAGCCAATCAAGTGCATCACGATCCTGACCTAGTTGAATCGGTTTCTATGAATCATTTGTATCCAGTCTGCATCTACTTGGACTCATTTTGGTTCACACTTTTCAACGAAAATCAGTCACCAATCAATCAATTATGCATCAATCCCTAATTAATTAACGCCTGCTATATAAATCAAGCAATAATCAATCAACTACACTTTCATCCCAAACTAGTTGGGTCGGTTTTTGTGAACCAATTGTATCCACTCTGCATCTACTTGGACTCATTTGGGTTCATACATTTCAAAAGAAAATCAATCAACAGTCAAAATACGCGTCAATCCCATATTAGCTAAGGCTTGCTATATATAAATCAATCAACTAACACCTTGATCCCAAACTTTCTATTTTTGCTCTATTCAGACTCATAAAGTTCATACATTAACAACAATCAATTAATTACCATCCTAAAGAACCTCTTTTCATTTGGATACAAAAAAAAAGTTTGATTTTTATGACAAATTAGTGATTCTTGATTGCTTTTTCCTAAAAAAAAGTGAAATTGAGAAACCCAATTAGAGAAAGATTGGACCTTTGGGAGGAGGGAAACGAGCGGCCGATTCGAGCAGAAGTGATTGCTGATTTTCGTTCATCTTTTCTGAGCTGAGAACACTGTGTTTGAGTTGATGCTGCTTTCTGGTTTGCTTTTTTCTTTTTTCTTTTACCCCCTTTAAATTGTGATTAAATTGTGTTTTATTGACATTAATAATTGTACTGGGATAGTTGGATCTATGACTTTGTGGTATATTTAATATGTTCTTTACCACTTTTAATCAGAAATCTCTTAAAATTGGAGAATCTTTGAATAGTGAACTAATTTAGATTAGTATGCCTTTATTTTCGTTCTTTTTCCTTTTTCTTTTCCGGTGAAAACTTTACATTGGATTTAATAATTAAACCTATCAGTTTGAATGTGGGAAAAAAAAAGAAGAAGGAACCTACAATCTTTTGGTGATTTTGACAACGAACACTTGCGCTGAATAAAGATGAATTACCTTTAAACGAGAAGTTGAAAATTATTAAGTAGATCAAGAACAATTGGTTGGTTAATATGCAGATTTTACAATTCGCGCCATTAACTTGGAATGAGAATTGAGCTGTAGAGCTAGTGAATGTCTTGCAAATTGATGTATAGTGTTAAATTCTCACTACACTATTCCACTCTGAAAGAAATAAGGTATACGTTTTCTACTTTTTTTACTCCTTTTACCGCCCCAATAGAGAAAATTTTAGAGTGGAATAAAGGGAATACCAAAACTGGCAACATTTTTAAGCTAATATTCTTCATCAACCATGACACACTTCCTATAAAGGTAAAAGATTTTAATTTCTTTTTCCCCTTTGACTGACCAAATAAAAATTCTCAATTTCATGATGCGAAGAGGTGGG